CCAACATAAATTTATTTGTTTGGCAAAACAATTTTCCACACCTCCCCTGCACACGCCGTGTGATGCGTGTCTGGTTTTACATTTTTTGACAATTTCATTGTTCCGTGGGCTGACTTTTATTTTGAATGATAATGCGTGAGGAGGACCCCTGGCAGCAGCAATGCTTTTATGCCCAAATAACAAGCCGTAAACATTTGGCGTTGCCATTTGGCCATTTTCGCGAGCGCGAAAAAACGGAGTAACAAATAAAAAATGATAAAGAATTTTATTGCTCACACGCAACAAGAACAAAATAAAAATATATAAAAAAAAGAGAAACAAAACAAATAAAGCAAATGGCTTTGTCGCATTAGGATGCAACCCCTCTATTACTTTACTACAAATGGCCGGCAGTTTGATATTTTGATTGTTTGCCTCTGCCTCAGGTATTTTGTTGTATTTTCGTATTTCGGCATTTGATTAGTTGACACATTTTATGAGTCACTCCACCCAGCAAATGGGATATTTAAATCCTTGCTGAATCCCACTCAGACACATTTCAAATTGTTGGCTAAATATAAAAGTGCCTGACAAAGCTGATTTGGTTTTTGGCATTTACCTTGCCCCTGGCTTTCCGTTTCCGTTTCCTGTCGAAACAGAAGCTCAATGTATATCCCAGCGAATGTGAATGTGTGATTTTTGTGGCTCCATTCAAGCTCAGTTTTAATTGTATAAAATATTGGCAAGTGACTTAACTTGTGACAGAAGCGATTTAACCCGTTTTGGTGAGGGAAAAGCTGAACTTTTAATTGAATTTGAAGGAAACAATTCACATTTATTAAAAACAATTTGCAGCTATCGATTTTTATTGAATTTTTATAAAGTTGAGGTATTATTTAAGCATTTTCAATGAGCTTAAGAAATCTTTATTCAAGCAAAATGGGCTTTTTTTTTAAATAAATAAAATTTAACAAAACCTCAAATTAAAAATTTTAAATAGGGAAATTTTCCTATTAAGTTTGTCTTAAATTATTAATATTTTAAGTTATTATTTTTAGTCTTAAAAATATTTTGTACATCCAAATGGGCCTTTTTTATTTTAATAAAATTTACTAAATGTTTAAATTCAACTTTAAAATTATTAATAAGAATATATAAATTAAAATTAAATTAAATTAACCAAAGAAATTGGTCTAAAAAATATGATTTTTAATATAAAATATGTTTTTAAAAATATTTCATTGCATATAAATGTGTTTTCGACGAAAATAATTATATTTTAACCAACTTTTTCATAATTTCAGTAAATATAAATATAATTGAAGTATATTTCATCGAAAATTATCGTTTAAAATAAAGGAAACCCCCCGAAATACATTCAAAAACTTCACTATCCCATTGAAATTTCAACACCTTCTTCCATCTCCCAAAAACCAATTAAGACAATTGGTAATTTATATTCGATATTGTCCAAAATGTTGCTTCTGGGGGGAATTTCCAAATATTTTGATGGGTTAAGTTCTGGTCAAAGCGAAGCTCTCAAGTTGGCCAGAGTAGCTCCGAGTAGCTCACCATAAATTAAGCATATAGATAGATATATGCTCAACTACAGTTATCCCCCCGAAACATATATGTATATAGTAGACACACACACTTGGAAGGAATCAGGAGAGGAGCATGTCTGACCGAACATTTTGTGTAGGACAATTTCTAAATGGAATTTAATTTCCGGATTAGAATAGACATCTCATGCATGTGGAGGAGTTCCCCCCAAAAGAGGGGGGCAGGAGTAATACTCTGGACAAACTGAACTATGAATGGATTCCTGCTAGTTACCCTTCTCTCTCTACCTCTCTCTGTCTCTCTCTTTCCATTTAATTTTCACAATTTAGTGGTCAGTCAATACAGGTGAAAAATTAATATGGAAAATAAATTTGGTTAACTAGAAAAGGTTTATTTTAAGGGATTTTTAAGCAGCTTTTAATAGAAGATTTTAGATATTTTAGATATAAGAAAATCTAAAGATACGATATTTAATGTTTTGAATGATGATTATTATTTTCATAAAAATATTCAAGTAAATATATATTTTTTAATGAATATTTGGAAGAATAATTAATTATATTTAAAAGGTTTTATATCCTTCACATTTTATTTTTCTTTTAGTGTTAAGCCCAAGGCAGCTTCTCCTTTTTTCAGAATCCTCCAATGCCTCAATGAACAATCACAACAAAAGGGGTGTGTGTGTGTGTGTTTGTGTGTGGTAATGGGGGCGGCAACTGGTGGGTGTGGCCCGTAAAGTGTTCCCAAAAATTTGCGGCTTTCTCTATGATTTTCTTTTTCTCCACCTGCTGCTTTTTGGGACTTTTTTGGTTTTTGTTTAAAATTTGCCAACAAATTTTTGGCCAACACAGATTCGATGTAGAAAGAGGTTTCTCTTGGATGGGAAAATGGTAGGAAAAATCACTCCCCTTTTGTGAGCTTGATTTGAGCCCAAAGTCTAGTTATTAATGTAATTTGATTTGGCCAGACAAAAGCCAACAAGGCTTGGGGACTTGCAGGCCCTACAAGGACGACAATGATGATGATGATCATAATAACCATATTGTTGATGAGTTCGAATAATGAAAAGATGATTTGACAATGCAGGCCAGCCTGGCAGCTAGTTAAGGGTTAAGGAGAGAAACCAGAAGCTCACTTTATGGAGGAGTAAATTTTTTAATAGAGTGTAAATTACCGGAAACACAATTAAAAATGTTCCTGGCTAAAATAAACCTCACTCTCTCTAAGGGCAGACAAAAGCTATAAGCAAAACAAAAGGCCAAATCAAAATGGGGCCAGGCTAGGGGTTAAGGAAGGTCTCAAAATAATGGGTTAAGGGAGGAAAATCATTTTGGGGCTAACTGCAGGTTCCTCAATCATCATCAGGCAGCAGTATGTAGGCGTGCCCTAAAAGAAGGCAGAAGGGTTAAGGACTCCCGGCTACTTAACACCCAACCGCCCCCTTAATCGTTTTGGAATTTTCCAAGACGCTAAACGGTCGACAATGACGTTGACGTTGGCCTACGGCAGGCAAAAATTGTCGGAAACACCTTGTTTTTTGACTGCCATTACCCCCCCTTTCCCATTTTCCATTTTCCGACACGTTTTCACCAGCACCTTTTCCACCCACGGCTATTGTTGTTTAGCCTCCCCGGCACATAATATGTTCATTGTTTATAAAACAACAGCGAAAACAGGTCGCCGGCGTCTCTGATGAAGCTAATGTTTAAAGGAAAACATTAAGTTCTTGGGGGGGTTTGGGTGCATAAGGTGTTAAGATAGGGGAGAGTGGGTTAATAGTTGGGTCGGCAAGTTGAGAGAGTTTTATTTGAGTTCTTTAGCAGAAAAGTCTATATCTTTAAGGGGCTTTGGGTTAGGTTTTTGATAATATTAGACAAGAATATTAATAAATATTCTTTAAAAAATATATTATAATTTATAAATATATTTTTAGTAAATTAATTAATATTATATGAGTAGTTTTTATATAATATTATAAAATATATTTATAGTTGGATTTTAAAGCATTTTGAAATAGAAGTAGATATTTACAACGGGATAACAATGTTTAAATGTATTTATTATTCCTTTTTATAATGTTATATATGTTTATAATTTATGTTTTAAATATTTCCCTAATATATATATTTTTTATATATATTATTTTATATTTATTACATTTTACTCCACCCTCGCTAGACCAAACAAAAAGCCAACTTCAGAGCATCTCCCCTTGCCGTTGCAGCCTTTGTTTTAAAACTGAATGAATGAATGAATAGTTGAGACGGTGAAAGAATGAGTGACCCAAGCGTTGAAAATAGAAAATAGAAAAGATAGATAATAGCCGGGGCAAGTTTAATATGAATTATTAGGTGCAGAAAAGTTTTATGATGCTGCTAAACCTGGTTAGAGACCTTTGTTAAGTTGGTAACAACGAACACAGGGGGAAGTGCATTTACGAATTGTAATTTTAAATACACTTTCCTTAATTGTATAATAAAAATAAATCAGGAAAATATATGAACTTTTCTATTAGCTAAATATATAAGCTTTTTAAGTTTATTATAAATAAATAATTTAAATATATTTATTTGTTGGAATTTTAGACCTAAAATATGTCCTAAAAAGTTCAATTTTTTACAGTAAGCTCTTTCTTAAGATTGCTTAATATATACTACAAAAAAATAGTAATTATTATTATTATTATTATTATTATTAATTTAATTACTTAAGCCTTAAAATTATGTTATATATTCTTAGTGGTTATACCACTTTCAAGGATATTCAGATACCCACAGCGTACAACTTAGTTTGGTCTTAACCTGCTCAGTGTATCTGTTAGATACAATTTGTTTTAATTGCACAAGATAGTTGGCAACGCTGCATCGGGGCCAATTAATTTTCATCTAACTGGGTCTCAGCTGGGATTTTGGGCCGGCGACAAGCTTCCGTTTGTGTCGGTCTATATCTTTAACGATTTTTATTCGTTTCGGTCTTGAAAAAATTATGAAGAGATAGATGACTTTTACATTTTAACATTTTCTTATAAATTTTAAATTATTTTTACAATTAAATTATAATTTTTTTTTGAGTACAAATAACCGCTGAGGATAGCTGTACTTTTTTCTACTTATCTTGTACCTTGCCCTCTTGAAGATAGTTTTTCTTTAAGTATATATAAAATACTTATCAATATAAAATTTACAAAAAAAGTCTTATCTTGATTGTCTTGTATATTGTAAGGCTCCTAGACTTTATTATTTAAGCTTAGGGATTTTTTCTTTACAAAAAAGTAAACTTTATCAGGCACCTATGCTTTTAAAAACATTTGATAATAAAATAACCAAAGCATTCTGTAACAAATATAATAAATATCTTTCGTTTATGTTAATTAAATATTAAAAAAAATAATAAATATTTAATTAGTTTTTTAATAATTTAATAAATTATTTAAATTCACATTCTCACAAAGATTTTCATAGATTTTGCAATGTTCATCAATGAGCTTTTATTGGCTTTCTATAAATTGTACAAAAGATCTGCAACTTTTCCAAGATTAGTTGGCTGCCACCACCTGATCGTACTTTGGTGGCAAGGCGGACATCACCTGAGGCTGCTGCATCTGCATGGGCATGGGCATGGGCTGCTGCTGCATCTGCTGATTCATAGGTTGCTGCATCTGCTGCTGCTGCATCTGCCAGTTGGTGGCACACTGGGCAGGCATCACTGTAGTCGTAGAGGTTTGAACAGGCGTGGCCACCTGTGGCACAACCACAATGCCCCTGGCCATCATCCTGCGGCAGCGACGGCAAGGACGTCCCCAGGCCAAGGGATTGGCGTAGTAGAAGAGTCCCCTTCGGTGGTAGCACTCGCACTGGACATTAATATTAACGTTATTCATTGTGAAGGTTTTTCAGAAAAACTTTTTCTGGTGTTGTTTTCTCTACGAGTTCGCTTTGCTTACTGTTCTGTTTAATTTCTGTTGGGTTTTATTTATATATTTATTTTTTTTGTGCGATAAGGAAATCCTCTGCGCTTTTTATCGCTACATTGATCGATCAACGTTGTTAGTGGTGGTAGGCACCCTTGATGATTCAATTTCGCCAGGGCTGGCTGACAATACTTTCTAATCTATAATTCTGGTTGAGTTGGTTGGCTCAGGTCGCTGATTCATGGGTGTCCACATAACTGGGGGTTGCCTTGGGATCTTGTCCACTTTGTGAGTCATTTCGGGACATTCGACCGCTTTAGAGATATATGTGTTAGGGTAGATCGGGAGCAATAATCTATAGCCCAGCTATTGAGATTGATACTGTGCTTTGTCTGCGGATTTATTAGCCTTAAAACCAGTACACTTGCACTGATAAGATAATCAGGAATACCTAATGTTTGATCAAGAAAAAGCTAACAGGAGAGAGTAATATATTATTATAAAAGAATATATAATTATAGAATATATAAAATAAATAATTAAAAATATATACTTGTAGTAATAAATATATAAAAAATGTTAGTATGAATAAGGGCTTTAACACCCTTTAATTATCTCTGTAAATAAATTTAAAAATTACGTTTTTAGTTATTATTATTAGGCTCAACATAAATAAATATATATAAAATTCCTATAATTATAAATTAATAGAGATATATACATATAAAAATGACCAAAAAGCTGTTTGAAGACTGCATTTTAAAAGTTTAAATAAAAAAATAATAAATACCCTTCATTTATAATTTAATAAATTATTTCAATTAATAATCTGATAAAGAATTTTATAGATTTTGCAATGTTCTTCAAAGAGCTTTTATTAAATAATTTTTTTTATACTCTAAATAAAAGAGATTCTATTTAAATGTTTATTTAATTAAAATATTTAATTATTCATATTTTTCTATAATAAATTTTGATTTTCCCCTTTATTTTAAATAAATGTATACATTCATATTTTTATTTAGAAATATCATAAATATTTTCACCCACTAAAAAACAATATAATTTTATATCATTATTTTTGCATTTTTTATTCAACAATTTCTTAAATGATTTTTTTTTTATTTAATTTTTCTACAACAAAATACAGCAAGGTCCTTTAGTAGGTGGTGACCCTGATGGGCACCGAAGTAGTGGTGGTTGTAGTGGTTTGAGTAGTTTGAGCAGGCATCACCACCTGGGCAGGTGTAGCCTGAACCTGGGTGGGAACCACCACCACACTCCGGGACATCATCTTGCGGCAGCGGCGGCATGGACGACCCCAGGCCAAGGGATTGGCGTAGTAGAGGACTCCGCGACTATGGTGGCACTCGGCACACTCCAGGCTAATGTTCACATCGGTCATTTTTCCTCGATTTCTTCTGGTGTTCTTACTTCTTGAAGTTTTCTCGCTTAACTGGCTTTTCCAGTGGCTGTTACCCACTTATTTATTTCGTTTAGGTGTACTGCCTTTTCGATAAGGAAATCTATTGGGTTTAGTTATCGGGCTGCATTGATTGATCAAGTTTGGGCCTTGGCTGTTATCGTGATTCATATTGACCAGGGTTGGTTATATGCTGATTTTTAGGCTGACTCACTAGGGTTCTCAGGACAAGGGGTTGCCCGAAAGATCAGTTAATTAATTATGAGTCATTATAAAATGTTATCTAAATCGTTTAAAAAATATTTTGGTATATTAAAAATGTAATATGATAGGTCATTATATTATTTGCTTAAAAAAATATTTAAGGGCTACTGAAAAAATATTTTTTTAGTGAAAAAATATAAAAAAATATTTTTTTTGAGAAAAAAATATGAAAAAATATTTAATTAAGTAAAAAATCATAAATAATTTTTTTTCACTTAAAAATTTAAAAATAAATAAATAGAAAATCAAAAGACAACCAGTTTGATCTTTATTTATACATTAAAATCTACAAATGCTATCCTCATTACGTATATTAAGCCAAACAGCAGTTTTAACCCCTTGAGACGAAGGTTACCGCCCCTAAAATATTTTGTTTTGTATGTTATTCCATGATTCTCTCATATCTCATTGAATTTGCTTAATAAATAAAACACACATGGTTTTTTATCACCACAAATTAAACCATCTTCGTCAGTCTGCCTTTAAATAAAGCCTCAGTTTATTGAAATCCCTCGCCTTCAGCGGTTGTTTTCTATTTAATATGTTTAAATTCGGAATTTATTTAATTGTTGCTCTTCTTGCCTGGAATCTTTATGAAGAGTCTGAGGCAGAATCTCCGGATGTACCACAATTTAGGTGTATATTGAGGGACCCCGAAAACCAGTGTGCTGGCTTCTGCTTTTCAAGACTGAAGCGACTGATTTCTCACCTCGCACTCCATGAGCAAGAGTGGAGTCTGCGAGATGCTTTCACCCTAAATGCAACCCAGGAGAGACTGGACAGGATGGAGCTGCAGCAGGCCAAGATTGAAAGTGGTTTGGCCAACATACAGGCTACACTAGACATGATTCGGGAAAGTCAGCAGCCTTAGAAAGGGATTTTAGGGCAAAGAAATAGACATAATATTTAAAAGAGACAAGCCTAAAGTGAAAATCATAAAAGAAATTAATCAATTCCAAGATAAATTAATATATTTTTGTTTTGTTTATTTTTGTTTATAAAAATATTTTTATTTAATTATAAATATAGTACATAAATCAGTCTGGGTAAAAATATTCAGTATTTAAAATTTTTATAAATTTTAAATAAATACTCCAAGCTCTCCTTCAATCTCCTTCTTCTTAGTAACTGGTAACAGCAATGGGCACCATGGTTGTGGTGGTGGTGGCAACTACAGCTGGCTGTGCCACCTGGGCAGGCATCACCATAAGGCTCCTGGACATCATCCTTCGGCAACGGCGGCAAGGACGTCCCCAGGCCCAAGGACGAGCCACATAAAGCAATCCACGACGATGATGGCACTCGCACTGGACATTGATATTTACGTTGTTCATATTTTCTTGATTTTTAGATTCGGGATCTCTTTTTCTGAGCTTTCCTTGCTTGACTGGTTTTCCACTTGCTGTCCACCAATTATTTATTCCATTTATATACTGTTGGTTTGATGGTGATAAGGAAATCCCCTGATATTCTTATCGGTTTATGGATCGTTCAAGTGCAGTTGTCTCTGCTGTTTGGCTGTGATTCATTTTTGCCAGGGTTGGTTAAACAATGTACTTAGTTTTTAGATATTATTATTATTAATCAACTTGAGGACTTTGATTGGGGTTGCCCCAAAAAGTGAGTCATTTTGGGGACTTTATTTTAAATTTCAATCATTATTTAAATAGGTTAAAATTAAAAAATAAAACAAGAATAGAAACAGAGGAAAGGATTTAGGGAAGCTAAAATTTTTATAACCTTGCAAGGAATAAAATAAATGCTGCTGTTAATTTATGTGTAATTCTTTATAATAAATCACATGGTACTTGTTTAGTCTAAAGACATCAACAATTGTTTCTTTCTTCCTTTCTTTAAAATACAAATTTAAATCCCCACAATCCATACAATATATAAAAGTATTTTCCTTAACTTTTAAAAAATGTATACCCTTATTTTTTAACACTAATTGATAAGGCTCTCTCCTTCTGCCAAAGGACATCAATCATTTTGGACACGTCAGATAGCAACCAAAAACCGAACAAAAATGGGAAAACAATTATATGTGAAGATAACAGAAATATATATGTACATATATATATGTAGAGAAAGAGGGAGAAAAACCTTAACCATTGTTTATGACATTCACCAGTAGTTAAATTTTTATATTTGCGCCATTAACATTCCAAATTAATGGCATATATGGGAATTTATTTCGCGTACAAGTGCAAGAGTCGACATTGAAAACCAATCATGTGAATTTCAATTAAAAACCAAATGCACTTAACTTATTCAGGAAAACAAGGGAATGGATTGCAGGTTACAGTGGTTATTCGATAAGGAAAATATTTGCAATAAACTGGAAAACGTTGTTTAAAAATTGGAAGTATCCTTGAAACAACGTGGCGTATGCGTAATATTTGTGGGAAATATTTTTTAATGAGGATAATTTGTGAAAAATATATTAAATATAAATAATAAATAATATTTTTTAATGTTTTTAATATTTTTAATATTTTTTAAAAATAGCACAAAGTATTAGGAATTTGGAGGAAGCAATTCAATGAAAACAACATGGCGTATGTGTAATATTTTTGGGAAATATTGTTTAGGGAGAAAAAATTAAAAAAAAAATATTAAAATACAGAGACCAATTTTTAAAAATAATTTTTAAATGTTATATAAATACTTAATAATTAAAATAACTTCCAGCATAATTTTCCACCCTTTCAAAAGACAGTTCCTATGATTTTCAAGGTATTCTTACAACAAAAAAAACTTAAAATGAATTCCCTATTACATTTTATTTAAAGACTTTTAAATAACTAAGTAATAAACACTATAAATACTTGGAAAGAGTGAACACGGTTTTATTTATTTTATTTTTTCCTGTAAAACAGAGTCTTAATAAGCAACAGGCTTTCAAGCTCGTAGTTCTATATGAAATACAGTTTATTTAAACATTTTTAAACATGAAAACACTTATTTTAATAAGTTACATAAAAATCTTAAAATTTCCAATAAAAAATAGAGAATTTGATTTCAAGTTTGAGAGGTTCTGTATATTTTTCTTTACAATATTTTAAATATTAAAATCTAGTGTAGACTATAAAATGTCCAGTGAACACTGTTTGGGCAGTGTTCAATTTTGTGTATTTATTTTTTTTTTGTAATTAGTTCACTCTTCCAATTCGCCAGTCAGAGCCGGAAATAAGTTACCACCTGGGCGGTGGGGGCTGCTGGACGATGATGACCTCCTCACGTGGCGGACGGCGACCGCCGATGTTGAACTCGATGAATGGCCTTCCGGGACGGACCACATCTACCTCGACGATGGGCGGCGGCGGTGGCTGGTACACAGCAGCAGGGGTGATAACCTCCACCCTGGGTGGTGGTGGGCGATAGCCACCACCCACTCCGATCTCAATGACTGGCCTTGGGATCCTTGGGGGGACAATGTCCACCTCAACAATGGGTCTGCCACCATGATGATGGTGATGATGATGGTGACGTCTTTCGTCCTCGTAGTAGGGCATCTTGGTTGTTTAGTTTATCCAAAAGAAAGTATCCTCGGCGGTGTAGCTGCTGCCTTTGACTCTTGGGTCGAACTGAAGACACTGCTCCACCTGCCAAACTATTTAAGGCTAACTTTATCGCTAATTGGGGGAATTTTCGAACTTCTGTTATGTATATTTTTGCACAGAAGCTTACTGCCTTATCTTGTCAGGTGGAATAAATGTCTTTTTCGATAAAAAATATTGATAAACCCCTTCCAGGCAGGGGAGGGTTGAGGTGTAAACAAAGGTAAATGAGCTTTGCTCTTTTTTCGGGTGAATTTCGTTAGATCAAGGTTTTTGTGAATCATACACATTTTTTTGTGTTTAGGGGAAGGACAAAATTGGATGTTAGGGGTGTATATTTAAATGTGTAATTCATAAGAAAATAGTATATTCAATTATATGATTAATTATAAGAAACGAAAGAGATGTATAGCTTTGTTTTAGGTACAGGAAGAATTTTAAGGAATTTGGTAAATAAACTTTAAAGGTCATAAAAGGAGCCGAATAAATTCTCCTTTACTTTAATCTTATCTCTTTTATTTACTAAAATATAAAATATATTTATATTGCACTTTCTTTTTTAGTCCATAAAATAAATAAGAATAAACCTTAATTGTTCACGATAATAAGGATTTAATTTTTATCCTGCAGAATATATAAGAAATATTATAAGTCCCATTGCAGATTTATCGATTTCTAAGATAATATTTTTTATACTGATTTTTTTTGCTATCTCTTCTGGTTGTTATTTATAACTTCTTACGGTATATTTGTATATAAACAACGCATTGTCTGTGTTATCAAAGCAACTTACTATCTATTGCACCATTTGGTATTGTCATTCCATGAACTTAAGATAAAAAAAAAGACTGATTTTGTTATTGTTTTGTCATTGCCTATCGGTTATACTTTATCGATAGACAATTTAGCTGTTGTTGAACTTGGAATTTTATTATATTTTTCATTGAGTTACTATAAAACACGAATGAGGACAACTAGATCTTCATTAGATAAATATGTAAATATAAATTCCCACACATTTATCAAAATGCATTCTTTGCTATCGATAATACTGTTGTAATTATTTGTTGTTGACTTTTATTGGTGATATGTATTATTACAATAATTACATAAATATTTTTTGTAAACCATTTTGTTCCAATATTTTATATAATAATATATATTTAAAATTATTAATTTAACTTAATGTTGTAAAATTATTACATATATTTATTGGAATATTTGTAATCGATACTACTGTTGTAGTAATTTGTTGTTGAACTTTGAATATGGTATTTATATATCATAATATTTCAGTTCTTTGCTCATAAAAGCCACCACTAAAATATATAACACAAATTTATTGGAATACATCACTTTTATTGGAATACTACACTTTATTGTCGTTATAATATATTTCTCATGGAACTTGGAACATTATGCGTTTAAAGTTGAGTTCTTAAGTTGATGAAGGGTGCATAGCTGGTTCGTCCCTCCAATCACCACTGGGGATACGGCGGGTTATTGTAGCCCTGCTGATACTGTTGATACTGATAGTCCTGGTACACCTGCTGCTGCTGCTGCTGCGGATAGTAACCACTGGTGGTGGCCACCTGTACACCGCCATAGGGCTGCGGCATCACCTGAACCTGGGCACCACCTGGAACATATGTGGCCGCTGGCGTTACGTAGACAATCTCGGTGGGCCTAGGCGGAGGCGGCGGCGGATAGTATGCGCCACCCCAACCGGGAACCACATCAATTTCGATATTTGGACGACCATGGTGATGGCGAGGAGGATAGCCACATGGATCTTCATAGTACCGCATAGTGGATTCACTGACTGACGACAGTCCAAAAACCCAACCAACCTCGGTAGCCAGCAACGCGTAGAACACTGGAACCCCTGAAACTCAACATGCTTCACACCAACCGCACTGGAAGTACACGGGTCTCCATCAATCAGGGTTTATGGGAATTATTCCAGCGATAAGAAGGCGGCTGTTAGTCATGCCTGATAACGCTGCCCGAGGGACAGTTGTGCATTCACAGGTGAATTGTATTGATCGGGTTTCGCGCTATGTTTTCCACCTCCATTGTTTACCCTATCTATCAGATCCCAAGCTTATCGGCGAGCTTGAGTTGCCTTATCTGTCAGATACGAGCAAAATGTTATGGCCAAAAGCGGAAAAGGTCTAGGTTTTTGTAGAGAAAATGAGAGAATTTCATCTAGAGAGGCACGAAAGTTAATACAACAGGTGTTTTGATTAAAAAAGAGGGAGATAAGGGTGTAGTTAATATTGTTTAATTAAAGGGTCTACTTTGAAAAGGGTTTTTATATTTTTATATGTGAAAAATTAAATGAATTTCTATGAAAAGGGTTCCTTAAACATAAATTATTTATTAGAAGTAAAAGAATCTGAAGGCTTAGAGTTAAAATAATAATTTTTAAAGCTTTTAAAATAGAAAAAAAATATATATAAATAAATAAATAAACATTTATAAAGTCTTGAACTTAATTTCCTTTTAAAATAAACACTTTTTTATATATTTTGCCACTGTATTTATTGTTAGATTTTTATAAAGTTCTTGAATTTAAGTTTTTTCTTATGCTAGGTTTATAATAAATTCTTTTAAAAGTTGCACTTTCTCCTCAATATGACAACTTTCTGAAATATTTTCGTCTGCATATTGGAAATCATTCCATTTATAACCTCCTCAATATTGCGGATTGTGGTAGTGACTGCCACCGGGCGGTGGGGGTGGTGGTTGCTGATAGTATGGCGGTGGCGGCGCCTGTTGCACTACCATAACTGGCGGTGGTGGCGGCGGTGGCTGCTGTACCACCACCACCTGAGGTGGCGGACGATGATGGCGTCGGGGCCATGGTGGTGCAATCTGGACCTTGATCACAGGTCCACGGCGATGCGGTGGTCCGCCACAATGATCATGCGGTGGTGGCATTGTGGTTTGTTATTATTTTTTTAATGTAGAAGATTAGTTTAGAGAGACGTCCAAATGGTTCGACTTATTGCTGGTAACTGAACTTGTAGCTCATGGGACTGACTAAGTAATAAAACAACCAAAAAAACTGCGGTTTATGACTATCAAAAAGCTTTGTTAAATTACTCATAGGCAGTGGTTGCTTGTTGGGGGATTAACGGGAGAGAGATATCGATAGGTGTGACAGTTATCGATAGATAACAGTTAAATTTAATTTGGTTTTTTTGTTAGCAAAGCTTTATTTTGTAAAAAAGCTTTGGAACTATTTTTTAAGCTAAGGCATTTTGAGAATGATTCATAGATTTTGGGGGAGTTTTTTTTATTTATTTAATTAACATTGTGAAACAATGTTTCTGCATTTATAATTATAAACTTTGAAAGCAATTTAATACGCAAAATATTATTAAAATCTTAAAAATATGTTTATTTTTTTTTATTAAAATAATTTAAATTTTGAACATTGTCCTTTTTATCACTTATTTTATATTCTACTTACCTTTCTTAATCTTTTCTCTAACCCCCTTAAAATTATTCAATTTAAAATCACACTTTCTCTCACTTTGTTTTGATTTTTCCAACAAAAACATCTAATAAACCGAAATGTAAATATTTGCATCTGCTTTAAATTCCTTAAAACTCTTAAAACTTTAAACAACAAAAACAATTTGTTGCGGACATCGTCTTAGGAGTTAATTTTCTCAAATATTTATCTTACAAAAATCCAATGCCTGCCTTGAAAAAATTCCTCAATAATTCTTTACATATTTTCAATGGCTTTGTAAATATGTTGCAAACATTTGCACCTTGCATAAGGTCAAGTTTGTAGACACATTTTTGCCTTAAGGGAGGAGCAACGTTGCCAAATATTAAATACATGGCCAAGGAAAACATTATAATTCCAAAGGGTTATCCTGAGTCCATCTCAATCTCAATCACTTGAGCAAACAAAGGCAACATTTTGGATTTCAACGATTTAGACAGTGTCTTAACAGGCCTGCAGGCCTTTTTTTGGATGGTTAATTGAGTTACAAGGCATTTTCACAAGGTTAAGGGTTTGGGGTGTTGGATGTTATTTAAATTTCAAATGAATTTCAGATATATCTAGCCAAGTAGCTAAGAGATTAATTTGAAGGAAGTTTTTCCTTGTATTTGCAATATTTTATTACCTGCAGCAGACCTTTAAAAATGAGGATTCATAATATCTTTTCACCAAGAATTTTCCCATTCAAATCCAGCTCCTTTTAATGCATATTTTAGGCCACGAATTGCAAGCGAAATCCCGGCAAGGTAAAACCTCACTGTCTCAATTCAAAGACGGCATCAAAATCAGAAACAGCGTCAAGATCTGCAACTGAGGCAGCAGCCATCGTCGTCGAATCGATAAATGTCAAAAAATAAGCTGGCAAGCAACAAGGCAGAGACATCGCCGTGCAAGAAAGGGGTTCTAAAAAAGCGGCTTCAAAGGGTTGGCGGTGGTTTCAGAATTTAAATATTTATGGAGTTGCGCTTGGTGCACAAGAAACGGAACCGGGCACACGGCATAACCAAAAAACCGTAACCGTAAACCTAGAGGAGCAACCAAGAACAGCAGCTAGTCGAAAATACCCGCACCCTGAGCAGAGACACTTGAAGAAAAATTGTTTAAGAAATATTTATACGAATTTGTATTTGATATTCAATCTGATAAACATATTTTAGATACAGAAAAATGTCAGGTAATAAATAGTTTTCAGAAAACTATTTAGGTTTTCTGTTACAAAAATCTTTAGGTAAAATTAAAATTACAAAGATACCTAAAGATTTTATTTGAACAGAAAACCTACCTTTGAAAGTAAATAGAATATAATAATCATAGTTACTTCTAGGTATAAGTATCACTGTTTTTTCTTTTAGTGTAACCATTGCCTTCCCCCTTTCCGGTTCCTCTCTTTCAGCCATCTTTAGCGGCGGCGTCAGAAAACGCATTTCCTGCTCATGTCATGACATGCAGCGCGGCTGAGAACGCGTAACAAGAGTTGGTTGTAGTGGTGGGTTGGAAAATTCGCAAGTGGAAAATCGGATGGAGTGAGGAAATTGGTTGATGCAGAAATGGTTTACCCGTAAAAGAAATCATCGCTTTTTTTTTTTGCCGACATGTCATGGAAGTAACCATATTTGGCAAGTGTTTTTGGCGGCGCCATGAACACTTTTCCAAAACATTTTCCCAAAATTTTGTTATATTAAAGAAAATGCTTTGGTGATTTGGATTAAGTGGAAAATGTTATATTTTAGGGGAATTTTTATCAGTTTTGAATCTAACAGATACCTTAGTTGTTTAAAAATAAATATTTAAATATAAATATTTTTAAATATATTTAAATTGGTATAATCTCCAAAATCACCACACTTAAGAAACCACTCTGATTTCATAGATTTGTTGCCAACTTTTAATTGAAAACTTTGAGAATTTTCAAGACTGTTTTTTCTTTGCAGTTTTACAGTCACTGAAGGAGCTGCAGTGGCGCCCACAAGTCCCATTAAGGAACTTGTTAATTTGCATTTTCCATTTCCATTTGCATGAAATTTGTTTCTGTTCGTTTGTCGCTGGGAAAAATTAAACCAAAGAAACAAAAAATGAAAGACGAAGGATGAAGGAGTACAAACTTGTGCCTTTAATGAGCTGCCTGCCTGCCTGCGGTTTTCAGTCCTGCCTTAACCCCAGAGTCCTCCTCACATAAGAGTGTTTGTCCTTGTCCCCGACACACGTTCCCTTTGACACTCTCTGGGCAATTTCCGGCTTTCACTTTCTTGTGCCGCTTTATAATTGCTTTTCGCTTATTGTCACACAAACACACACACACAACCACACACCCACACACAACAAATGCTCACAAATTACACACAAAGGCTGTTGGCACACGCACCCCAATATTGGTTCAAGGAAGGAAGGAAGGATAAAATGTTGGACACGAAATGTTTGGCAAATATTTTGTGACTTAAGGGGGGCAACTGGGATTGAGATTGGGATTAGGAGTGGAGTGCAGGGGAGTGACCAACTCCCTGGCAGGTCACTCAAGTGGAAAAAGCATCGTCTGTCCACTCGAGTGTGCAATTAGGTGAAAATAAGTGGTTCAACAAACGCCTCCGAGTATGCAATCATTTAAATTTCACTTCATTTGTCCTTTTCATGATTTCGCCCCTCTACACCCACTGTTTTTAAGGATTTTTCCTAAACATTTTCATACACTTTAAATAAATAAAAAATATATTACGATTGTAAAAAGTGGAAAATATTAATATAGCTGTGAGTTCCTAGTTTATCGGATGTATATCGAGGGAATAAGACCGATATGAATAATCGATAAATATATCGCTCTTTTAAATGTTGAAAATATAACTTTTAATATTGAATTGAATTATATAAAAAAATACTTTGCCTCTTTTTTCGATTTAATTGCTACGATTTATCGCAATGTTGAGATACCGCTTTGTATATCGACATTTACGTTAACTATCGATATATTTTGACATCAATAAGTCAATATTCTAGGAATCTCATTAAGCATTTTAATTTAAGAAAATTCTTTTATATTGCTCGCCTTTTAATATTTTATTTTCTTAAAAAAAAAAAATAATCGACATTTTTTTAATTTTATTTTAATACAACTTAGTCTACTTTTTTCCGCAGTCTTATCCCCCAGTTCTCCCCTTGTGAAATTACAACACCCAAAACGAAATTATTTTGATTTATATGCAGGCAGGCACCTGCTCATTCGAGTTCCTGGGCTTTTTCTTTTCTCTCCCCAGATATTTTTCCTGGCCGCTTTGTTGGTTTATGTGCTGTGTTGGTCCTTGGATTTGTGTCTAAACTAAACGCTTTGATTTGCGAAGCTTCGCACCGAAAAAACCCCGCCAAGGAACTGCCGGATGTCAACAAAAACGGAATTTGAAATGCAAATTTAATTTGAGACAAGACGCGCGAGGCCTTCTCGAGAGACCAATGGTTCCTCGCTTTAATTGCCCTCAAAAGAAGGAAAAGGACGAAGAAGGTCCTTGGCAAATCGTAGGGGCGGAGACATAGAGTGAGCTAGCTGACAGCTAAGAGAGCGCCTGCTTTGCCTGTTAATTTTACGCCAAATCAGCAACAACTTTGATTTCGATTTTATGCCATGTGCATAAAATTTTTGCGCTGACTCAAAAAGTTCGCACAAGTGTGGGTGGGTGGTTGGAAAAGCCGGGGAAAATGGCAGTGGGAAAAATCAAAACCCTAGACGAGTGTTTGGCCTGATTGAAATGTTGGCAACTATTGCGCCAAGTACTCACAAGTTTATTGGCAAATTGATGAAGTGTGTTCGCTTTTGCATGCGCATGAGTTTTCCGCAGCCTGCAAAACAATTTTCCCATTTTAACATTTTCCCCTCCTCCTCCTCATCCCCCCGCTCGCCAATCATTGCATGCCGCGTGCAATTTGGCCGCGCTGATATGCAAATTAAGTTGTTGCACTAAACGACGTGCCGGGAAACAGGGAAAACCATGGTTTGTGGGAAGGTGAACTGTGGCAAGAGCCTCCGAGGTGAGCTTACTTGGCTTCGCCTGTGTTTGGGCTCATTTGTAATACAATTCGTCACACAAATGCACACATGTGTTTGTGTGTGTGTGTGTTGTGGGGGGAAAAGTTTGGCTGGTTATGAGCAGCTATGCATTTTCTAACGGTTTTCCATAAGCGAGATGGGTGCTTGAAGTAAGTTCGGTTTTGTGGATTCCTTTATTTCAAAAGTTTTTTCTATTAAATTAGGATTTTTTCGATGGGTGCAGGAAAAGGTTTAAAGTTAGCTTTATTTACATCTTATTAACATTAAATTTCCTACTAAACTTATAATTCCTCAATTAATTTGTAAGTATTAAACTAAACCCCTTAAGAAACCCACAATTTCAAGTACTTTTAGGTTACTCCTCATAACTCTACAATTTCCACTTAACATCCCCCAACTGAAGTTCCCGCAATCAAAGACCCATTTCAGCTCCCGACCAACATTCTCAATCGCCACTCAAATCACAATCGAAACACCTCAAGCAACCTCC